CTCAGACCAAAAAAAGGTATTTGCAAGTTTTTCTTTATCACAACTTATGAAAAAATTGTTTACATTTACCTTATAAGTTGATTTCTGACTTGGTAAAATTTACAGGGTTTGGTGATAAGTGAAAATTGTAGTTATTTTTATATATAAGTTTTGTTGCACTTATCGATACTTTTGTTAATATTATTTGAATAATCTCCTGACTTTTGTGTAAATACATTTAGTTTATGTTTAATTGTGATTTTATGTAAATAGTATACCGTTTGATAGTTTTGGTCTATTTTGTAGGTATTTGTCGCATATTTGGAGCATCGAAGAATAAGGTGTCAAAGACACGGCTCCAGATGCGCATTTTCAGAATAAAAGATTAGTTTTGGGACTTGTTGTCCAGGAGAGTCCGCTTAGCGCGCAGGAGGCCACTAAGCGTCAGTGGTGCTCAGCGCATTTTGTAGCGCGCTGCTTGCGTTTACTGTTTTGGCAGAACCAAAGTTTTGAAGCCCACTTAGCGCGGTTTAGGTCGGTTTAATGTGTAAATATCGCGCAGTCCGCTTAGCGCACTGAGGACGCTTAGGGCGGTCTGCTGAGATTTGTTTTATAACTTCTTTTTCAGTCATTTTTAGGTTATGGTTTTAGGGAAGTTTTTTCTCCCAACTCCATCATTTGTAAATTTTGTTAGGATTAGCTTAGATAACAACTATGAAGCTTGCATACGGATGATCCGGAGTGGATTGCTATTCGATCGACGCAGACAAACCGGTAGATCTGTAGTTCATTTCTCTTCCTCTTTGTGTAATCTTCTATGGTTGGATTTGCATGTATATTTTCTTTGATCTAATGTACATTTGTCGTCCTTGGTGTTATATAAAACTTGTTTTACGAATCTTTGTGGATTGTTGTCCTAGATTTTTGTACTGTGCTAGGGATTTAAGTTGTTATAAACATATACTGCTTAGGTTCTTACCTAGGATGATTAATCTGTTAGTTCCTCAACTCTAGAGATAGATTTAGAGCTGACAATCTACTTGGGTATCAAAGCTTAAAGCCTCTGTGTTGTTAATTCCTTAACATGTTCTTGTAGTTTTTGGATTTAGTTGAGATTCCATGTAGGCATGCTTGTGCAACATTGGCTTATAGGCAACCTAAACCTGAAGACTATGTGGATGATTGCTACTCTAGGCAAAAATATGGACTGGCATATAGTGTTGCAATTAGCCTAATAAATGGGATGGATCTGTAGCCATCAGTTGAAGTAGATGAATTACTTCTTCCTTTATACAAGAAAGGACCCGGAAGGTCTAAGAAGCTTAGATTCAGGGAACTAGGTAAGGGAGGTTCAAAAATGAGGAGAGTTGGAGTTACCTATAGATGCACTGTGATAAAATTGGTCATAACTCAAGAAAGTATAAGGCTACAATTCAGAATCAAGATCCTTTGAAAAAAAAGTACAATTTCATTCCTATTACAAAATATTTTGACATGTCCTTAGTAAAATCCCGTTGTTGATTTGTCTTCCATTTTCAAATGTAGAGGAAGGCTTCTAGGAAGAAGTCTGGAGTAGCTGCTGCTGCAACAATTGCTAACCAAAGTGATGCACCAGTTGCTGATCATATTGATGCACCAGTTGCTGACCAAAGTGATGCACCAGTTGCTGATCATATTGATGCACCAGTTGCTGACCATAGTGATGCACCAATTGCTGCACAAGTTGATGACACTACTGCAATTTCAAAGGAGATGAACAAGTTGAAGGTCAAGAAAAAATTGAAATTTGTTGGACATAAAAGATCAAGTGACAGGTTGAAGGTGTTGAAAACCAAAACACATAAGGGACCTGGAACAAATATTGATGAACCAATGGTCATTCAAGAGGATGAAGAGGGTACATTAACTCAAGAGCATGCAGAAGTTGGCTCAGATCCTAAGCTAAGGACATGTGTCAGGGCAATGAAGTCTTGGAGTAACATCTCAAGGGATTAGTGGAATCTTGATTAGTTTTCTGTATTTTGTGTATTGTTATGACAGTTGCATTTCAAGTGCTTTTGATTATGTTTAGGTCCTTCTAAGCTGCACTTAGTGTGTTTTTAATTATGTTAGTTATAACAGATGCACTTATAGTGCTTTTAATTATGCTAAAGTTATGTTATGACAGTTGCACTTCAAGTACTTTTGGTTATGTTGAATTGGTTATGTTCAAGTTATGGTTATGTTTAAGTTATGGTTATGTTGAATTGGTTATGTTGATTTGGTTATTACAAAGTTATTGTTCAACACATTGTAACCAAAAATGACTTGTATTATTTTGGACAGCCACCGTTGATTTCATAGTAATGCAGTGTCAGAAGTTTGTTTTGGGTAAGGAACCAATGAATCATGCTAGGTATTTTCTAACATCTTATATTTTAGGTACAAACATGTTTATTATATTTTCATGACTTGTTTTCTTCTCCAAATATTGGTCTGCATCAACAATCTTGGATTGCATGGTTTGAGGTCACATGCCAGATTGCTGCAATGATATAGGTATCTTCCAGTAATTTAGGCCAAAATGACTTATTTAATTACTAGAAGCTTCATTTTGTATAGAAGATGCTATGTCAAATGTATATAAAACGCACAAGATAATGCCAAATTGCCGTGGAGAAATTGTTTAAACTATACCGCACTGCTGTGTGGCAGGAGTAAACAAATGTCCAATTGATGCTTATTTCGCCGCTACTAATTTGGATTGCTTATTTCATTAGCAAACTACTATTATAAGTTTCTGCAATTAAGAGTCAATAACTACTCTTATTCTTATTTTGGCGACATTGTAAAAGAAAAAAACAGCTTGTACATTAGTTCAACATATTGATTGAATCAATACCTACTACATTTCTTACTCTCAATGCTTGTCTACATATGCAGATTGTGTACTTGGCACTATCTTCTTACAAAGTGAACCAAAACTGAACTTATTGGGCCAGGACTGAAATGATCTTCCAGCAGTGATAGCATGGTTTGATTTCACATGCCAGATTGCTGCAATCATATAGGTATCTTTCAGATTAATGCATATAAATTGCATACTGTGAAGTTGCTGTCAAATTCATATGCATATAAATATCCAAAATAATTAGATATGTATTTAAAACTGGACAATCATTGGCTTAGATTTATTTTAAAATGGAATCAATTACTATTAAAACCGAGTAAACCGCATTATGAAACCGAACCGCAAATTCAAAATAAACTTCTCTCTAAATCGGTCAAAATTGGTTCTGTATTTCTCAACCGGTTTGGAATTTTGGACCCGAAAACCGAACCAATCCAACCGAAGTCCAGCAGAAGAAGAATTGACAGCAATAATGGTTGGTACTTTGATGGGATTGGAGTTATGATCTTTGAGTTATGTGCACATGACAGAGATTTGGGCTTTAAGAAAAAGTAGATGTCGATTTGAAACATCAAGTCAGAAACTAGGAGATGCATCTTGAAGTGATGATGTGATCCTTAAGCATATCATGTAGTTGCTTCACTGGATAAATTCAATGGTACAAAACTCACTAAAAATATTCAGAGAAAGGAACCAAAAAGCATAGTTGTTGAACACGAGTTTTAACTTATAGAATAGTACAATTCCGCTATTACAAATATATAAATGAATAAATTCTTCACAACTTCAATTAAATTATAAGGAAGAATAAAAATAGAACTAAAAATTTAGATGAAATCACACAATGGTGATTAAGGAATGTGATTTAAAAGTTGACATGAACAGACCTGGGTGAATTAATTATTTACATGACCAAAAATCACACAGATAAATAAAATTAAACTAACAGAAAACAAAATAAATCAAATGTGAAATTTGACATGAACAATGTCATTAAAAAAATTGAAATAATATTTTAAAATTTACTAAAATTTAATTTATATACTGTATGTCTAGAGTCTAAACACATTAATTATTTAATTTATTTTTAAAAAAATTCATACAAATAAAACCGGAGAAAATATTTTGTAAAACCAAAAATGAAATCTAGTTGATTTGGTTAGACTGGTTGGGAAATCCCTAAATTCAAGTAAGCTTCTAAGAAATCTTTTTAATTTGGTTTGTTGTTGACATTTTTCATGTCAATTTCCACAAAAAAATTTGTTTGTTTGTTCAATTTTATTTATCTGTTTGATTTTTATTGATGTCGTTCATTGATTCATGAAGGCTTGTTTATGTGAATTTTTAAATCACAATCCTTATTCACTATTGTGTAATTTCATCTAAAATTTTAGTTGTATTTTTTTCTGCCTTAGAATTTGGTTGAAACTGTGAAAAAATTATTCATTAAAAATGTATTTGAATGAGTCATTTTAATTAGAGAATTTAAAATGATTTAGACAAAATTTTATTATTTAGATTAAAAAATTTTAAAAAAATTTTAAAATAATGGAGATTTATATTTTGTTCAAAGTTAAATTTTATGATTTTAAAATAATACTTAAAATCAAAGAATTTCAAATAAATAAATAAATTCGTATTATCCTATCAAATTGATTAATGTTGTTATTTTAAATTTTGCAAGTTGATCTTCATATTTCTCAAAATTTTAAAATTGACTCTCAAAACATTTACAAAATTACAAATTAGTCTTTAATAATTTTCAAATTTTAAAAATTAATCCTTTTAGATTTTAAAAATTGCAAAATAGTCTCTTTTCTAAAATTTAAAATTTGGTCATAAAACTTCAAAATTTATAAAAGTTACCCCCAGAACAATGATTTAATATATCCAAAAAAAAATTAAAAATAAGTGAATTTCAAAAAGTGTAAAATTAGTTTATTTTATACGGTGCGATTTGACATATTAAGTATTTGAATTAAACTGATGGTTCCTCCTCTTATATTTTCACATTATATATTTTATATGCTATCATGAATTTCGTTGGGCTACATTAACTGCGATCACAGTAAAAAAACCCATAAAAAAGGATGAAAATATAATTGAAAAACTACAATGTAATTTTTTAACCTTAGCCTAGAAGATGATCAGAAGGAATTTGACCAAAAATATTAGGACAAGGGTTCCAATTCCTTTGTTGTCGGGCTTCCCAGTATCCTCCTACGTAGCGGTATGTACCGCTTGATTTATCCTTAGCAAACCATTGTGGTTCCCATCCACTAGCTTGCATCTTCCCAGCCTGATCCCAATAAAACAAGTGATCAATCAATAACTGGATCATGTTTTTTGGCCTTTTAGCATGCTGACCAAAGGTACACATTTAGGTTTTACCCTACAAGCGAAGCAAACAAATGAAATGCATAACTAAAAATAAAATATCTACCTGTCGTTGTCGCTGCTCTAGCCGTAGTTTTTCTGAATTTGCCATCTCATACTCCCCATTTTCCAAATACCTTTGATCTGGTCTTAACCTGGAATCTGTAGGTGGTAGCTTTTCCTATATGCTCAGATAAAATTGATAATCAATGCCAGTTCCAGGTACATGCACACACATAAGATACATAACTGAACTTGGTCCTTGTTACACTAATATTATCTACACTATATATAGTTCTGCCATGTTATATAAATGGTTAAAGGGTTCCCCTGCTTATGCAACTAATAATTTTCTCATGTGGTAAAAACGACAGTGAGAAAATAGAAAATTCTTCCTTTAAAAAATAAACATAAAAAACCTAGATTGGCGACACAAAGTAAAGGATCAGTAAAAACCTTTAATCCTGGGGTAAGTTCGTTTAGTGTGATGGCAAAACGAGTTAAGTTATATCTAGTAGGAAACTTGGGAGGCTTGCTCCGCTTCCATAGTAGATGTGCTTCTGCCAACGATTCATAACTTTTTCCCTTTCCACCATAGTCACCATTAACATAATACATGCTGTCATCCCACTTTCCAATTAATGTAGCCAATGTTTTCCCATTTCTGTCCTGAACAACACCTTGAACCTGAAAAGACACACAAACTGCAATAAGAAACTACCATATATAATAAAGGATTACATGTTAAGTTGTACTACAAAATTTAAATTGTAGAAAAGACAATATGATGGAACTCAGAAAATGAAGTAATAGAACATTAAAATAGGAATGGATTGAATGGAAGTTATTTGATTAATGGAAAAAGAGGGTTATAATTATAAGCATGATGAGCACTTGCTCCTTTAGGCCTTGTTTGGGAGTTTGGAGGGGAAGAGAAGAGAGGACTTTGAAAAATAGGAAGGGTTAAGTGAAAAGATTAGAAAGATTTTGGTTGGGAGGGTTTTGGAGTGCTTAGATAAATTTTCCAAATATTTTTGATGTTGTTATAGTATTCTGGAAATTAAAAATACAGTAATAATAAACACTACTTTATGGTTCTATACAAATTCATTTTTTCAAAAAATGTCAAATATTTTCCTATATTTTTTTAAAAATTCGTTTTCAGAAATGCTCTCTTCCCCTCCCTTCCAAACTCCCAAACAAAGCCTTAGAGAATGAATTCTTCTACTACAATAATAGCAATAATCATGTATGCCTATTCTCTCCCCTCTCCTCACAGTATATTCCCCGTGCTCAAACAACTTTTCCTGAAATTATGTGTCATTCATGTCACTAACTAACTTCTCCTTCCAGATTCTTCTTTCCCCTACGGGTTCTAAGCTCTCCTCACAGCTGGCTTGGGCCTAATTTCAGCAGTATTATTTTCATAAGGCCCGGTAATTCTATCACAGTCCTCAGAAAAGACAATCTGTAAAACACATAAATGTACCTGGCGAGGATTGCGATCAATTATAGATTGTTCCTTGAATTTCATTTTACATGAGTATGATCCGTTTCCCTGAATTCGCATTGTACCATAATGATCACAATACAGCTTCCCCAAAATGAGATTGTATATTGATGTAGTAACCTGAAAGAACAGTTCCAGTTTATAACCTAATCTGAACGCAGCATTCTCTTTGTGACCTTCAACATTCAATAGTGGAAGAATTTATATGTACCTTGCTCCACTGGAACACTTCGCCATCGTCAAATTCTAATGTCAAAATACCAACAGGATCGAGCTGAATTGATCGGCCCCAAAATTTGCTCTTTAAGTTGCTATCTGCCCAAAATTTCCAGCCTGTACCCTCACAGTGACACGCAACTATGGTAGGGTGGTGACTGACCTGAGAGGAAGCAGAAATAAGTATTTTAAATTCAAAATGAAAACAGTGGTTGTAGAGACAATCATATCACTTGTTAGCTACAAATCAAGTTCTATTGTATTTTATAGGGTTCTACGGAACTCAAGCGCACAACCACATACACTCCTATAAATTAAGTCGGATAGTTTTAGGGTTCTATCTAAGTTCTCTCAAAACTGTTTCATTTTCATCCTGGGGCAAGAAGTTCTAAGGAAATCAAATAAACATAATTACTTATATTTCAAAAAAAAAATTTTGACTACATAGATCATATAACAATCATAAATAGCAGATTCAAATGCTCACAAACATTAAGTATAACATTGAACACATATTAAGGCTTGTGGCATTCCCTGTCCTTGGAACAGGGCATCCTCCCCTGCCCATAAGAACAATATGAAATTTTCACTTGTTATGCTATTGTTCTAAGGTGTCGAATAGCACACTCTTAACTCATATACAATCAAAGTAATCACAGCAAAAGATTGTGTTTTAATAATATCACTGTGTAGACTAAGATTAGACCTTCTCTGAAATGAAACGAAAGCCTCTATCTGGAAAGTCAGCCTCATATGTCTCCCCCAGTAATGGATTAAACGGTTTGCAAATTTTCCCATCAGTTGAAGCATAGGCAGATACAGCAAAAGCAGCAACATTGAGAATCCTCATAAGGGTATTGCCCTGCATGACATCATCAATGGTTTTAAAAGTTGAAATATTGTTCCCAGCAATACACTAAAGAGCTAAGAAAAAAGTATAAACATAGTGAAACTTGGGTACTAAATCCAGACTTACTCTTCTTCCCCATTCATAAGCTCGGTCAAGGAGATATGAGTACTCCATTTCTTCACAGCATTTTTGAAGAGAGGAGAGAGGTTCATTAAAATAAACAGGGAGACATACTTTAGTTAGATCCTTCCCAATATTATCCTTAATCAATGACCAAAGACTCACGCCTTTCTCTTTTTCAGCAGGTTCAGGCAATTTTTTACGCCGCTTAACACGAGGGTAGTTGGTCCCAACAGTTCTAATAGAAGGATCTGCATCCTCCTCAAATCCAACTGCCGAGAGTCCTTCATCATCTGAAGAAAAGGATGAAGCCCTAAAATCAGATTCATTACTTTTAAAAGAACCGGATGATGATAGAAAATCATGTGTATCAAAAAAGGCGGCATCATCGTCATCATCTGTTTCTTCGTCTGCTGCGTCATTTCTCTCATTATCATCCTCAGACCCACATGCACTTGCTTCTGAATCAAAAAGTGAAAATGGAAAAATAGTGCAATAGAAAATCAGTGCATGAAATATCATAGCTGCCATGCGAGTATCTTTTGTTTTTAGAAAATACATGAGCAAAACCTTAATCAAGCAATAAAAGGATCTTAAAGATATGAATGCCAACATATATGAACACTTACCACTAAACTTTTCCTGCCCCAATATAGAGGAAGCATCTTGATCATTCCCTTGTCTTTGTCTTTGGCTCTCATCAACAACAGTGTTTTCCAGGTCAACTTTCTCTGTCTACAATGATGAAGTGCAAATAAATTTTATTACTACATCAAGAAAACAAAATATTATCCTCAGTCCATAAATATAAGGAAATAAGTCATAAAAAAGGAAACGGATCAAACAAACACCTGTCCAAGAATTTTAGTGAGGGAAAACCATTTCTTGCTTAAAAAGAAATAGTAAGACAGTAATTAGAAGCTGTCAGCACGGCAGGGAAGTGCAATGCAAAATACATTAACGCGTAACGTGTAACGGAATTACTTTAATGAAAATAATATAAGTTAATTAAAAATTGGATATATTAAATTATTATTTGTCAATCTGATGCTCCTGGGCATTACCTTCAATTGGTGAAAGACTTCTTCAGCATGATAAACAAACAAAACTCATAAATGTAACTCAATAGTGAGCATTCAGCTGGACTTGTTTATAATAAGTTGAAGGAATTTTCTAAATGGTACTCTGCTACTGCTGTGTTAAAAATCCATCATAAGGATTAAATGTAAATAAAAAGATCATTCAAATTTTGTAGAAACACAGTAACCAGAGCTTCATTCTGAATTATATCTTAGAGACACTGACACCGAAGCCCTACCTAAAGCATCTAATTAGTAAAAAATGATACTGAATATAAGATTGGAACTAATTGTTTGCAAAAACCAATATGTAAAGGAGGGAGAAATTGATCAAAGAATACTGAATATTAATAACTAAAGCCATTTGTTTTTGGCTATTTATTGCCAATAAACTAAAGTACAGCTAAAAGAATAGGAAAAAAATTGAGTACTAACACATATACAGGCTAATAGACGTTTAAAAAGAGACAAGATCCTCCCACTTCTTGCTGATAATTGAAAAAGGACGATCGGCATGATTGGAAATCTAACAAAATTATCCAGTTCGATTGGCATGAAGTGTTCTACTTTTCATTAAATGTACCTCCAATTGGCGTAAATTATCAATCAGAGCCAACTGTTTCTGCTTAAATAGCAAAAGCTGGCTTTGTAGAGCTGCATACTCATTTCTCATAATTTGCTCACTGTCCTGAATGGCCGCCTCACTAACACCTTCTTCCATAAGCCGGTGCCTCAACTTTTCAGTTGAAATGGCCAAATTGTTCACAGGAGCCATCAGCTCACAGTTAGACATCCGAGGAAACATATCTTTGACCGCATACAAGGCCTCCACCCATGCCACCCGATCCTCACGGGTCTCAGCCCTTAAGTGCAGTGTCTTTGTCCCAGTGAAAATGGAAAACCGTTTTTCATCCGATCTGCTCTCTCGAATAGTTGAAACCTACAGTCAAACCTTTCCTCCATTAAAATAACACACATAAACATGAATATGATCATATGAACTTGGTACCGGAAAATAAAAAAGATGATTGCACAGTTTCAGAGCCTTACCAATTATGATTTGTTCATAACTAATAGCATTGAATTGAACTTAAGATGACTTAGATATTCAGATTGAGATTAACACACAGGGCAAGATTCGTTAATTAATTAAAACATTAATTAGAGTGTGATGAATTTCAACATTCAAAATTTACATTCCCTCTAACAAACGGCAATAACCAAAATCAAACTAAAGCATAATAGCAATACTAATTGAAACCTGAAGATGGATTTCACCAAAAGGCTTTCGACAATGTTGCGAGTAGTGAGAAATTCTATTGCGAGAGATGATACGCATGGACTCGTCACCGATGATTTTGAATCCCTTCTCGGTTTCTGGATTGATCACGATCTTATCAGGTCCGTGAATCTTGTAATAGGAGAGAACGCCGTCTTGTAGAACGAACCACCGAGGCCTCCATCCTTTGCCGTAGTTCACCCACTTCTGAAGTATTCCTGATATTCCGTTCCCGACCAGGTCGTTGATCCTCACATCAACCGCCGTCGGAATCACCGCCAACTGCTGTTGCTCGTGCCGCTGACTTCCGCCGCTGGAGATACTGTGGTTGACGATGTGGCTTGCAGGTCGGGAGAACAGTTCGGATCTCGCCAAAATGGAGGACGGAAGAGGAGGCATAGAGAAGTTGTGTGATTATCGGCGGTGGTTAAGTGTTTGACCGGAGCGGCGAAGTTATTTAATGTGGCGGAAGAGTTACGGAGATGTTAGGCTTTGTGGTGGCGACGCGATGGTGGAGATTGGTGGCGCAACCGGTGGTGATTGAATTGACGTTCATGTTAAGTTATTTTATTGGTGATCGAAATGAGAAGAATGAAATGGAAGTGTCAAGAGGGGGAAAGAGTGTAAATTCGCGTGAAAGCCAAAAACGGTTACGTGCTGAAAACTTTGCTAAGTAAATAAAAGTTTTTTTTTATGACTTTACCTTTAAAATAATGTAGATGGCGTATTTGTTTTACATTTTTACAAAATTAATTGAATCGAATCCAACTAGTATCAGCTCTATTCAATTCAATAAAAATCAAGTCAACTTAAAATTTAACTAAAGTTTGATATGAATTTTTATAAAACTTAAATTTATTTTATTTTAAGTTCATGAATAATTTAATTCAATTTTTAAATACAATTTATTAAGTTTAATTTTTTTTTTCAGAAATTTAAAAGTCAATTTTTAAATGAATAATAATACTGTAACAAATTATAAATAAAATTGACTTTTTTGATACATTTAAAAATTAAAATATAAGTTTGAACTTATCAATTCAACTATCTATTTATTAAAATTAACTATCATTAAATTTTTTGATATATTCTTTTTTTTAATATATTCTTTAACATTTTTATAATTAATAAATGTTAAAGAAATTGAAATTAACACCATTTGCAACCTCTTTTATTTTCTATTTTTTCTTTTCAACTTTTTTATTTTTTCTTTTCATCTCTTAATTCAAATTTCAAATTTCTCTTATATTTTTTTTCTCAGTTTCTCACTTTTTTATTTTAATTTCTCCCACAATTTCCTTTTCTCACACTTTTGCATTTTCATTTTAATTTTTCCTACATTCCACTTTTTTTCTCTCACATTTGAAACTTTTTTTTAAGAACACAGAAAAATGTTGAATTTTCAAAATACAAAATTTAGTCTCTAAAGATAAACATAATTATTTTATTAAATTAATAAATTATTCAGTTATAATCAAATTAACAAATTATTCAATTATAAAATTCACATAGTTATTTTATAGTTATTAAAAAATAATTCAATTACAAAACTAATAAAGTATTTTATTAAATTATTCAAACAAAAACACGTCTTTATCAATATAATATATATTTTATTTTTAATTAATAATTATCGTTATTTAAAAGATAAATTTTTTATTTTTAAATGTGAAAATTTTATTTTTTTCTTTTCAAATATATATATATATATATATATATATATATATATATATATATATATATATATATATATATATATATATATATATATATATATATATATGTATTAATTTATGACTTAATAAAGTTTATACAAAAATAAAAAGTAAATGGACAACAAATTACACCGTTACTTTTGTGAATTTAAAGAGTCAAATTATATATATAATATCATTTCACCTATTTAGTTAATGACGTGGTCAACTATTTTTCATTTTTAATTTTAGAAATTAATTTTAAATATTAAAAATCATTTTCATTTTTTAATATTGATTAATTTCAATTAACTTAAATAGGCAAGTGGGAACTCTAATCCTCTTTAGTTTCCATCAATACGTTGCAAGCTTCTCGAACTTCTCCATTTTCTTCTCAAACATCACAGTTAGGGCACGAGGATTGGGGGTGAGAAACAAAGCTTTTCCATCAGATTGTTCAACGAAAGCGCTTACCACGAGTTTCAAGATGACTAATGGGCAAGTGAAATTTTGCTTAAGGTATGTATTCTTGTCTCCTTTGGAATGTATTGGTTAATGCGAGTTATATATTGTACTGTGTGTTCCACCATGTTTGTTTGTGTTATTTGTGGTCCTCCATGTTTCTTTGTGTCTTTTTATGGTCCAACATGTTTCTTTTTGTCTATTTGAGGTCCAACATGTTTAGTTGTGTCTGTTTGTAGTTTAACTTATTAAAATCGTATTTCAAAATTGTCTATTCTCAGGCCAAGTCAAGAGACTAAAGTTAGGTTAAGACTCCACCATAGGGGTATATTTGTAGTTGAACCTGTTAAGGTGTATGTTGGTGGCAAGGTAACTAAAATGGACTGGAAGTAGGATGTTGATTTCATGTCATACATGAATCTGAAGGGACTGATTAAAAGCCAAGGTTATGTAGACGTTAATAATTTGTGGTATAGGAACCCCATATTAAGCTTTACTTGTGGTCTTAGGCCATTCAACAATGTTAATGATGTGCTTCAGTTTGCCAAAGATGTTGTAGGATACAAGCTTATAGATGTTTATGTTGAGCACAAAGTGTCTGCACCCCTGAGATTGTGGATCCAGGTGAATTAGATAAAATAATTGATGATGATGATGCATAGTGTATATGTGTGAATCTTCCTAATGACGCAGTTAGTAATGACCAACCCGAACATGTTAATGTTTAACCTGATGTGAGTGAGCATAACTTTGAAGATGTCAATGTCCAACCTGATGTGAGTGAGCATAACTTTGAATATGTTAATGTCCAACTTGATGCGAGTGAGCCAAACTATGAAAATGTTGATGACCAACCTGTTGTGAATGAGCCAAACTGTGATGATGAGCTTAGTGAAGACAATAACTTTTATGAGGATAGTGAAGAATGTGAGGAGATGTATTAGACCAAAGTTCTACCTCTTGAGACATTAGGTGAGGTTTCTAGCGAAATCAACTTGCAACATGATGAAGATAAGGATCATTTGTACACACCCCCTGGAAGTGATGATGAAGAAGATGTAGTAAAGTTTCCAACATATAAGAGTGGTGAGGGATATGCTTTCAAATTAGGGATGATGTTTACAAACAAAGAAATAATAACATATGCAATCAACGAATATGGAATGAAAAATTAAAAAAAAGTGTCCATTAAGAAGGTATATGCAGCGGTTGAAGGTGAAACCAAGGATTCATGGGAATGGTTCTTGCATCTACTTCTAGAAGATTTAAGTGCATTCAATCAAAGAGCTTATGGCTTCATTTCTGATCAACAAAAGGTATATGAGTTTATTCATACCAGATTTTGTAATTTCTTTATGTAATTCCTTCTATGTTATTAATGTTGTGTTACATTACATGTGATAGGGGTTGGTTCCTGTTATCCAAGGCTTAAGTGCCCATGTGGAGCAGAGACTTTGTGTTAAACACCTTTATGGTAATTGGAAGAAGAAGCATTCAGGTTTAGAGCTAAAGGAGGCGATGTGGGCAGAAACTAGAGAAACTACAATACCATTATCGAAAAGATCAATGGAGAAAATGAAATTGTTAGATCAAGGTGCATGGAAGGATATGATGGACACCCCTGCAAAATTCTAGACAAGAGCACACTTCAAGACCTACACAAAATGTGATATACAAGTTAACAACATGTGTGAGGCTTTTAACAGAGCAATATTAAAACATAGAGTCAAGCCTATAATCACCTTATTAGAGGGAATATTTTACATCATTTTTATTTTGTGTTCCGGAGGACTTTTAAAAGTGTTCCAGAAGTCATTTTTTACATCATTTTATTTTGTGTTCTGAAAGACTTTTCAAAAGTGTTTCAGAAGTCATTTTTTAAAATTTTTATTATGTGTACCGGAAGACCTTGCAAAATAATTCTAGTAGTCAAATTTTTTTCACATTTTTTAACTTTTAGTAAAATTTTATATAAGGACATTTTGATAAAAAAATTATAATATAGAAATAGGAGAATAAATGTTAGGGTACGAAGTAAAATTTTTCTATCATCAGTCCTGCATATTCTTCCTATTGTGGTAAACAAGATGTAGACAAGTGAGAAAGTGAGGAGATGCAGACAAGTGGATCCAGGTGAATTAGATAAAATAATTGATGATGATGATGATGCATAGTGTATATGTGTGAATCTGCCTAATGACGCAGTTAGTAATGACCAACCCGAACATGTTAATGTTCAACCTGATGTGAGTGAGCATAACTTTGAAGATGTCAATGTCCAACCTGATGTGAGTGAGCATAACTTTGAATATGTTAATGTCCAACTTGATGTGAGTGAGCCAAACTATGAAAATGTTGATGACCAACCTGTTGTGAATGAGCCAAACTGTGATGATGAGCTTAGTGAAGACAATAACTTTTATAAGGATAGTGAAGAATGTGAGGAGATGTATTAGACTAAAGTTCTACCTCTTGAGACATTAGGTGAGGTTTCTAGCATAATCAACTTGCAACATGAAGATATAGATGATGAAGATAAGGATCATTTGTACACACCCCCTGGAAGTGATGATGAAGAAGATGTAGTAAAGTTTCCAACATATAAGAGTGGTGAGGGATATGCTTTAAAATTAGGAATGATGTTTACAAACAAAGAAATAATAATAGATGCAATCAACGAATATGGAATGAAAAATTAAAAAAAAAAGTGTCCATTAAGAAGGTATATGCAGCGGTTGAAGGTGAAACCAAGGATTCATGGGAATGGTTCTTGCATCTACTTCTAGAAGATTTAAGTGCATTCAATCAAAGAGCTAATGGCTTCATTTCTGATCAACAAAAGGTATATGAGTTTATTCATACCAGATTTTGTAATTTCTTTATGCAATTCCTTTTATGTTATTAATGTTGTGTTACATTACATGTGATAGGGGTTGGTTCCTGCTATCCAAGGCTTAAGTGCCCATGTGGAGCAAAGACTTTGTGTTAAACACCTTTTTGGTATTTGGAAGAAGAAGCATTCAGGTTTAGAGCTAAAGGAGGTGATGTGGGCAGAAACTAGAGAAACTACAATACCATTATCGAAAAGATCAATGGAGAAAATGAAATTGTTAGATCAAGGTGCGTGGAAGGATATGATGGACACCCCTTCAAAATTCTAGACAAGAGCACACTTCAAGACCTACACAAAATGTGATATACAAGTTAACAACATGTGTGAGGCTTTTAATAGAGCAATATTAA